AACATAAAAAATATATTTTTTAAAAATAACTAACTAACTTATTATAAAATGTAATTTGATTAAAAGTGACTTATAAAATTAAATGTATGAAGTATATTTAACAACGAATAAATCTAACAACTGGCAAAATAGAGAACAAATAATTTCATTTAATGCTTTCTTAAAATATAAAAATAATGCTTATTTAGAAGGGACAATTATATTGAAGTCTCATATAAAAAAATTAATTACTGTAAGATTTATTGATAACTGAATTAAACTGCATTGACGACATATTAATTAATTTTTGTGTATAAAATCTAATTGTAATTCTCCCTATTTAGAACCATAGAACGGTGGATCTTCGTGACATTTATCATGAATCAGAGGAGGCGCTGGTTTGGTAAGCTCTAAACTGAAAAGTTTGAAATAAATTAATTACAATTTATTAACTATTACATAATTGGTCAAGATCGCGATTGTTGGTAAAAAAAAAAAAATCAAGTTCTCAATTTATTAAATCATTGTGAGTTCTAAACAGAAAAGCTTTCAAAATTAATTCCTGCATCGTGGACCATAATCTCACCTTTTCAATTAGTGGGGCAATAAATTAATGTTGATTTTTGTAAGACAATAAATTGCCTCTAACAATGACTTTTATTTTTTGGTAAAAAAAAAAAACAATGACTTTTATTTTTGATTCCAACAATTACTTTGCCATTATTACTAATACTAATACTAATATTTAGTTTAACTTTTGGATATCAAACTATACGAAAGTAAATATTTTTTATGTACTCTTGAATTCTAATTTTAATAAGTGATATTGATTTTCTGGTAAGGTAATTATTTGGTAAAATGAGTATGATGACTTAATCAAAAAATTTGATTAATCATAACATAAACTCTACTGATAGCAGAAATTATCTCTTCTGATATATTGAGAACAAAACATAAACCTTTCTTAATTAAATTAGCACATACATAAGGGTTGAAATTTGGACTCCTAACTACTTATTTAAGTGAATTTATTAAACTATTTGTAGATTTTTAGATGAACGCGTAGGTATGCTTTAATTGATTAGTTATATGTTTCAAATTGCTTTGGCATGCTCTTAAATGAAAGGTTTGAAATTAATTAACCACAATTTTTTTGGGGGAATAACTACAATTTATTTAATCACTGCATTATTATTAAATTAATTCATTTGTTCATGCTTACGTGAAGTCGTGAACATCCTGTGACGGAGTTTGTTTTTCTTTGTTACTACTCTAGTCCTATTTATAATTTATTTTTAATATGTTTTATTAATATTAAGAAAATTCTTAAAACTCATTAATTCTATCTTAAAATTTATTAAGTTTTTAACTTTGTCCCTATTAAATACATACACTTTAATAATATATTTTTTCTCTCCAACATTCAATAGAAGGTAATAGAGAAAATTTATGATAAAAAGTTAATGATGTGACTTATAAATAAGACTAAAAAAAATTCTTCTCTCTCTGCCCTATAAATAGGACAAAAAGGAGTATTTTCTTTCACTTTATATCTTAACAATTACATCAAATTTAAATAGTTCAGATTTAATATTGTAAAAAATTATTATTAAAATATGGAAAAATAAAATAACAAATTTAAAATTTAAATACTTTATCTAGATTAGTTTTTAGAACAACCATTAAGAAATTTTCTTTTGGCTAAAATATGCAAAACTTATTGTAGTTATTGTGTGTGTGTGTTAAAAGAACAAGTCTTACATTACCCATATGAAAAAAAAACTTTTAATGTATATATACTAAGGATTAAAATAGGCTAGTAAGATAGATTTGGAGGAGAAGTGAACTCATGTGCATGAAATAGGCCAATTCATGTTAATCGCAATTGAAAACAATTGATTTGCCTTTTGCACATGAGTTAAAGAGGCACTGGGTTTCTTTTACTAGAACATTTAAAAAAATAAATAATTATTTATTTAAATACCAGAAAACTCATTTTTTGGCTGCTTGAAGTTTGAATTCGAACCTTAACCATAATTGAGGATTAATGGTGGTTTATTCCAGTAATTGAAGACCCAACGTTCATGTCAAGGAACTTGGCTTATATATAGGCATACATATGGACATAACACTTAGCTTGGCTCTTGAGCTTTTGAGTCTTTCTTTCCTCCTCCATGCATGCTATGTCGTCTGAGTATTTTTCTTGTTATAGTCTCTTCTGTTCTATTGCCTTGCTTGCTTGTTTAATCCTGAAGAGCTACCAGTCTGCCATACCACTGTGTTGGAATAGTTTTTAAGGACAATCTTCTTCGGCACAATTCAAGCAGCTTTGATTTCCTTATCTACCGCCAACAATACTTTCATTAACTTCGAGATTGTTTTGTAGATTCCTCTCAAGTCTCCAATCTCAACCTATAAAAATTTAAAATTAATGTTCCTAACATTTTTTTTACCATAAACTCCCTTACTATTATTTTTTTTTTAGTTATCTTACCAAACAAAGTTGTGTAAATCAATAATAACAAAAAATATGAACAAAATTTTTATGAAACTATCATATAAGTTGTTATGTGTTTTATTTAATATGACATAGAAACTTCGATTAATAAAATAATTAATAAATAACAACAAATTCACATTACTTAAAAATAACGATTTAGAGAGGAATAAATTCCTTGCTAAAAGATTATTTTTTCCTGTTAAACTGAAATTTCATAACTAAAAGTGAGGAATAAATTATGCCTTGATAATTTCCTCACAAATTAGAGAGGAATAAATTGGCCTCGCTAAATTTAGTTTAAGATACGAAATCACTATTACTTGCCAATTCAGGCTGTTAAAGAGGAAAAAATAATTCCTCTCGCTCAATTTCATCGTTATATCAAAATTTTTTAGTAGTGTAAACTTACAATAACATGTATCAAAGTCATTATTTTAAAAATACTCAGGCAGATATTTGAATTCCTATGACTATTATTAACCAATAGCAAGTAGCAACTAAGTATTGGTAAATTGGTGTTGGTAAAAAGGAAAAAAAAATGTATTGGTGAATCTGTAAGTACCCATTTGGATTTCAGTTAGATATAATAGATTATAAAAATAATTAATTAAATGGTAGATTTTAATTATAATTGATTATATTATAACACAATCTGTTTGGATACCGTTTTTCTAAAATTGATTTTAACAAAATTAAAGATATTTGATAATTTATTCAGAATCAATTTTAATTGTATAAATTATCATAAAGAACATTGTATTTTAAAATTAAATTATTACTAAATTTATACCTAATATTATTAAAATTGTTACATTTTATTTAAGAAGTAAAAAATATTATTGGTTTTATTTTTATTAAATTTTGGACTTTTTTTATAATTTTTTCCTGGGTCTTTGTTTACAATTTTTTCCAATGCTTTTTGATGTATTATCGCAGGCACTCCAATTGCCAGCTTCTGAAAAAAATTGATTACATGATTTTTAAGTGTTTGGATATATTTTTGGTTGATAGATTTTGACAATAAAATAATCGATTATTTTGTCTAACCAAACAGGCCATAAATCGTTATCAACACACGTCATATCTTCAAACTTTTCAAGCTCGTCCTCTCTGTGTTTTTTTTTTTTTTTATAAATATTAAACTAGTCAAGATACGTTAAAATCTCTATGCATGCATTGAACAGGTTTACAACATTTGTGACCAAATTTCTTCCTCTTCCATCTTCCCCCATTAAGAAAGAAATATGATAATAAAAGAATTATCCATATATTTATTATTAGTCGGTGCATGGCACGATTCTTTTTCTTGTTTTAAAAAATACGAGTATATCCCTGCATATTTAAAATTATTTCTGCCTCTTTTTTCTATATTTTCTTCCATGGATAACAATATTTAAAACGTCACTCCTTGAATGGGTATCGATATCCATTAATTACATTCTACTTTTAGAATAATCGTTTTTTAAAAAAATTAAAGATAAATTCATATATCGGCAGTAAAATCAACAACAAGAATAACAAACGATATAGTTGACCTCCCGACAGAATCGCCCGAATCCAAGCCTCTCCTATATGGATCTTTATCTGCAAGACTGCCACGTCTCGTCTCTCTATATTTTATATAGAGGATTCTGTTATCCCCTTTCTCTCCTTCTCTTTGATCGGTTTCTCTCTCAAGCAATCCCTCACAATGAGATTCGTGATGAGGCTCTGTGACTCTGCAGTTTCTATATTGTTATTATTATTCATAAGCTTCCTCTGTGTGACACATCACAATGGCGTGGAAGCCTTTCACACAGTATTCCCAAGTTATCAATCTGTTTCTCCTTTTAAAGTGAAGGAAACTCATAGAACTGGATATCACTTTCAACCTCCCAGACACTGGATTAACGGTAACCTTCTCCATTCTTGTTCTCTCAAACCCTTTATTGAGTCTCCTAATTTCGCTCTATCATCTCTATGATCCATTTCTGGTTTTGGCCATAGTTTTCTTTTCTTTATTATCATTATTTGATAACGTGAAGCTCAAAATCCATTAGGAGGAGAGAGATACGTTATTTCTTGTAGGGTTCGACCTCATTTTGGTATGATCTGTGTGTAGTAGGATTTTGATGAGTTATGAATTTCATGTAACGTTAAAAACGAAAGGTTGTTGAAGTAATTCGTTTACATTTTCTAGACATCGGGAAAAAGCATGCTTATCAAACAGTTAGGATCCTTAACATTTAGATAACTACAAGGCCAAAGTGAAGCTCATGATATGCTAAAAAGAGAAGAATGAATTTCATCTCTCTTTCTTAATTTATCTCCTTGATCGTATTGGTAATTAACTGCTTTCCTGGCTTGCTAATCCTTTCGTGGCCTCACCAAATTTGCGCGGTGGACAAACTAATGTCAAGCAGATCCAAATGGTGAGTCTCCCCTGCCTTTTAATTAATTTCATCATGATATGATCACATTCTGAAAGTTTCAATTAGTTAATGCTGATACATATACATGTATATGCGTATGTACGTAACAGGGCCTATGTACTATGAAGGGCTGTACCATCTGTTCTACCAATACAACCCTAAGGGAGCCGTGTGGGGCAACATAGTGTGGGCCCACTCGGTGTCGAAGGACCTCATCAACTGGACCCCACTGGAACCCGCCATTTACCCGTCCAAACCCTGGGACAAATACGGCTGTTGGTCCGGATCCGCCACTATCATTCCAGGTGAAGGACCCGTGATCCTGTACACCGGAATCGTTGATGATAAGAACACCCAGGTCCAATGCTACGCCGTACCCGAAAATGCATCAGACCCGTATCTCCGGAAATGGGTCAAGCCCGACCTCTATAACCCCATCGTGGTGGCGGAGCAAGGCGTGAACGGCAGTGCGTTCCGTGACCCGACCACTGCCTGGTACAGCAAAGACGGGCACTGGAGGATACTGGTGGGTAGCAGGAGGAAGCATAGAGGGATTGCCTACTTGTATAGAAGTAGGGACTTCATGACATGGATCAAGGCCAAACACCCGATCCATTCTTCAGCGAATACGGGTATGTGGGAGTGCCCTGACTTCTTCCCGGTTTCGTTGGAGGGGCAAAACGGGTTGGATCTGTCGGCTATGGACGAACCAAATGTGAAGCATGTGTTGAAGAACAGTCTTGACCTAACTAGGTATGAGTACTACACAATCGGAACATATTCCACTATTACGGACAGGTATGTCCCTGATAACACCTCAGAAGATGGTTGGGGCGGACTTCGATATGATTATGGTAACTTTTATGCTTCCAAGTCCTTCTTTGATCCCAGCAAGAACAGAAGGATCTTGTGGGGTTGGGCAAACGAATCCGATACTGCCAGGGATGATGTTCAAAAGGGATGGGCCGGGATTCAGGTATTTAATTAACCCACGAACACATCAAGTTTAAGGTTTCTGTTCCATTTTCATCATGCAAAAGAATAAAAATGCATCTCTGTGTGTGTGGGTGTGTGTAAACCCGCAAACATTTTTTAGGCCATTCCAAGGACCTTGTGGCTTGATCCTAGTAAAAGACAACTGGTGCAATGGCCTATTGAAGAATTGAATAGTCTCAGAGGGGAACAAGTTACAATGACCAATCAAAACCTTCAAAAGGGAGATCACGTCGAAGTAAAAGGAATCACTGCTGCTCAGGTATGATTATCGTATCGAACAAATTCTTAATTTAGGCTGATTGATCTTAGATTGCAGATTTTTCTAATTGTCGAGGATATGATGGTGCAGGCTGATGTGGAAGCGAGCTTCTCTTTTTCAAGCTTGGACAATGCAGAGCCATTTGATCCAAGCTGGAATAATGCACAGGATCTTTGTGCCCAAAAGGGTTCAAAGGTTCAAGGCGGGGTTGGTCCGTTTGGGCTTCTCACGCTGGCTTCACATAACCTGGAGGAGTTCACTCCTGTGTTTTTTAGAATTTTCAAATCCCCAGGCAAGCACGTGGTTCTCATGTGCTCTGACGCAAGCAGGTACGTGTGATGTCTTCGATTCGTGGTGGCACTTAAAGACCTCCGTTTAAGCGGAACTTGCTTTTAATTAACTGGTCGGTTTTGGTTTTTGAATTTCTGAGCAGCTCCACTTTGAAGACTACAGCGTACAAGCCATCATTTGCTGGCTTTGTGGATGTGGATTTAGCGAACAAGAAGCTTCCTCTTAGGAGTCTGGTATGTGTAGACTTTTTTTCCTGTCTCATTGTGTGTTTATACTGAGCTGCGAGACAACAGTAATTGATTTTTGTGACTGGATATGGCAGATCGATCACTCCGTGGTGGAGAGTTTTGGAGCGGGAGGGAGGATTAACATACTATCTAGGGTTTATCCTCAGCTGGCAGTGCAGAATGAAGCTCACTTGTTTGTGTTCAACAATGGCACGGAGCCCATCACAGTAGAGAATCTGAACGCTTGGAGCATGAAATCTGCTGAGAGGTACTGAATGCCGAGAGAAAGATCCAAACGTAGGACATAGAAATTTCAATTAATGATGTTTTTGTAGTTTCTTGCTTAATAAGCACGGATGCGAACCATTACTTAAGGATTTTTTTTTTTTTTGTTCTTTTCGTTTTTCAGAGAGTTTGCTCTTTTCTTTTTGTGGGCGGTAGTTGTTTTGTTTTCACCTAATTTACACCTAAAAATTAGTTATCATTTCACATAAATGCAAGTGTGGAATACCCCTCGGGATCGTGGGAGTTACTACTTACTTGTTTATGTTTTGTAATTAGTGTGTTTTTTCCTGTTTGTTAAAATTAAGGCCTATAGTCATTATTTTTCACCGAGAAAGCAAAAATAAGTGTGGAATAAATCGGACAAAACAGTTCAATACTTATTCTTTTGAATAATATATCTCGTAGGGGTAAATATAAGGGGTGGTCCGCTCGCATACGCCCTCTATAGTCGGGTATGAAGTCATATTTTAACCTTGAGGAGTTTTGACGAAAGAAAAAAAAACTCAAGCAGATAAAATGAAATAAATAAAAAAAGATATGCAATAGAAAATATTAATTTTACGAAACTGAAAGTTTTTTTTTTTTTCTAGACAAGATATAATTTGGATTGGAGGCCAAAAGTCATATCAACGCTTATCCAAGCAAGAAAAGGAAAAGGATTGAATCATCTTTAAGGATTCCAATCAAGATCTGTACTGTCAAAACGTTAAATTAACCAAGTTCTTGTTCACGTATATGGGTAGGGAACGCATAAAAATAAGGTGTTATGGGATGATATTATTTGTTAAAAATAAGGTGTTACGTGATGATATTATTTGTTGCTCTACAAATATAACAATTCCAAAAAAATCTTGCCCAGTCATCCCTCTCCCTCTCAGCCGCATCGCTCTTGTTCTTCTTCAAAGATGCAACGGTGTTATAGAAACTCGCTGCTACAGCAAAACTCATAATTCACATCCGCCATAACTTGTCACGCCTTAGAGTTTGTTTGGATTAACATTTGCAAAATTACATTTTGCATGAACTACAATTTGCAAATAGAGGTTAGGTTAAAAGTCAGTTATTATAAGGTGAATTATTTTTGAATACTTTTATGTATAAAGTCAATTAGACAAATTGAAACTTATTTGGATAAGATAATTAAAAAAATTAAATATATAATAAATAAAAAGGACATGGTTTGGTAAAAATACCTAAAAAGGACATGAGTTGTGTTTCTCACACACACAAGTATGCAATTTGATAAATTTAAGAAAATGTTAAAATTATAATTATAATTATAAAAAAATAAAAGAGTTAATGTATTAATGTAAAAAATATTTTTAAATACTAAAAAAATTAATTAGATCTATTTAGAGAATATATATATATATATATATTACAAATACAAAATGTTAAATTTATAAATAAGAAAAACATTAAATTTCAAAAGAAAATATAAAAGGACAAATAGATCATTCAATAAATTTAAAATGCACTTAGTGCTTTTCACTTAACTATAATTGGGAAAGAAAAGCTTATTTGCCAACTACTTTTACTTAAACATATTTTTTTTCAAAAAATTACACATGGGTCCTATGAAACCAACTTATTTATAAATAAATTTTACAAAATTCAGAAACTACAATTATGTTATTTAAAATCTGAGTGTAATTTAAAATTAAGATAAAAGGATAATAATTTCCTTATTAAACATATATATATATATATATATTTTAAATCAATCAAATAATTCATAACTATTTCATTAAGATTTTACAACTTTAACTTTTATTTTTTCACAATTGTAACTTCATATACCCAATAATTAAATTAATTGGTTTAACTATTGAATATGTAAAGTTACAGTTGTGAAAATTTAAAATTATAGTTATAAACAATTAATATTAAATTTTATTAACAACACATAATTGTTTAACTATTAAATAGGTGAAATTTTAATTGTAAAAAATTAAAATTATAATTGTAAGTTGCTGATGAAGTATAAGTAAATTAAATATTATTGTCTTTGCAGCTTAATTTTAAATTACACTCAAGTCTCAAAAGATTTGATTGTGATTTTTAAATTTTACAGAACTTATTAGTAAATAAATTTATTCCATCAAGCCTATATGTAATTTTCTTTTTTCCTGTTTACTTCTAACTAGCTTTTAAGCTTACAAACTATAGTTTAAACTAACTAAATAGAGTCCCAAACAAGCACTTGTTCCCCTTAATGATTCGAATGAGGAGAATGAAAGAGAAGTTCTCGATGATCGGCTCTTATTTACTCCCTTTAACTTATTGCAGAGTTGTGTGAACAAGAAATTAGTATAAATTGGGTCTATGGTTGAATGAATTTGGACCGAGATTGAAAGTTGAAGCTATAAACTAAAGGAGAAAGGAGGGTCATCTTTATGAACTTGAAAGAATCTGCAACTTGCAAGCAACGCTCCTGTCTGAAACACTCACTCCTTCAACATGATTATCAAAACTTTAAGAGGAATCGAAAGAAGGAGCAAACTATTATATTGGCGTTTTTGAAGAAAAGCCGTGCCACCGAGAGGGCGAGGGTCATGAGGGTGGAAAAAAGTTAGGCTAAATTAAGTTTTAATTAAAGAGACTTGAGCCTTTAAGGTAAATTAGAGGCTTGAGTTTGGCCTGAAGCTGCTTGTATAAAGCTTTTTTCATGGCTCAGGTCTTAACTTACTTAAAGTCTAACCTGAAAACCTATTTAAAAACTTACTTAAAAGTAAATATTTTAAATCAGTTCGTATTTTAGTTTTAAATGTCTCAAATATACTTTAAAACTATTATAATATACAATATATGACATGATTTATCATTTACAGTACATAATAATTGAAAAGATTTACCAACTAAAAAATAATATAATAATAAAATAAAAATATTAATATTAATATATAAGTCTAATATAATTAAAAGTATAATGAGAAATAAAAAAAGAATATATTGATTAAAAATCAAATGGTGAACATAATGTGTTCGTAATATATTACATAATATATATATATATATATATAAATAGGTCGGTTTGTTATGCTCATAATTTAGGCCTTGAAAATATAAGCCTGGCCTATAAACTAAATAGGTTTAATTAAAAGTATAAACTTGACCTAAGCCTATTTAGTAAGTAGGCTAGGCCTAAAATAAGCTAGGCTATAGACTCTTGTTAAAGACTTAACCTATTCTCACCTTTAGAGATGATTGGATGAGGTGCTCTCTCTCTCTCTCTCTCTCTCTCTCTCTCTTTCTCTCTCTATTTTTTTTAACAATGAAAAGAGTGTCGTTTTGAAATAATGGAAGAGAAATGAACCTAGAGCTAGCAATTTGAGACTCGAATAGACCCAAACTTTTTGAATAACTTAAATGGCTAAGCCTATTCCAAATACTTGAATTATCAATTTTTTATTTTAAAATTAATTTTAATTTAATGTTTTACTTCAAAATTAATTCTTTTTATTTTATAGAAATATAAAATAGATTTTCTAGAATGCTTAAACACAATAGAAGACTCAAACTTCTTTTCAAAAAACTATAAGTTTTAAAATTTAAAAATCAATATTAAAATGCATCTTAACTATTATTGTAAGATATTTTATGGATTAAAAATAATAAAAATATGACAATAGAAATATTTTTAATTTTTCTTAAATATCTATAACAACATGCTCAAATATATAATATCTTAATATAAAATAATTAAAAATTAAAAAATTTAAATTTTTTGTATTTGAATATTCAAATCAAATCCCAATACAATTGAGCTTGGCTCAATTTTTTTCAAGCTTACTCTTACCAACTTGAATAGACCTAAACAGTAAAAAAAAAAGCATAATTTCACCAAATTCAATTCTAAATTGTGTTGGATTGGTTTGTGGAGCTTGATCTAAAGTCATATTTAATATGATGGAAGGATTTTTTTTTGTGGAAACGAAATCACAATTGGAATTGGTATCAGCATCAAAATTATAATAAAATTGAGTTTTAAAAGTGTGTTTAGTAGATAATGAAATCTTGATATAATATTAATATTAATAAATATGTATATTTAATATGAAAAAAGACCAAAACACCCCCTTCAACCAAAAAAATAAAAAGTCAAACGAGGGGGGAAGTGTTGTAGACTGTCACCGTAGATTATTTGTTTAGACCAGCCAGCTAGAGTTTTAACATTGCAAGCTGCTCATCATCTTTCACCAAGTTATCACAAGACAACTTCAAAATTCAATAAATATAATAACGGTTTCCAATTCATGGAGGATCCTCCTTCTTTACAGTCAAGAGAAGCTACCGGGGAAAATGGAGAAATCAAGATTTCCTACCAAAGCAATCCTTTTAGAGCTGGACTAGCTACAAAACGACACTTTCTCGGACGTTAATTTGACTCAAGGATCATCTGGTGAGCGAATCCGACAACGTCATTGAGACTGACGAGATCAAAAAGGAGAGCGAGAACAACATGAAACGTTGCCTTAACTGGTGGGACCTCATCTGGTCCGGCTTGGCTTTGGCTCTGTTATCGGCGTTGAAATCTTCATCCTCACTGGTCAAGAAGCTCACGACGATACTGGACCCGCCATTGTCTTTTTCTATGTTGCCTCCAGGGTACCCGCCATGCTCTCCATTTTCATGAATCGCCGCCACATTCTCATTCTTTGCCAAAGTTCTTTTTTTTTTTCCGGGGGGGGGGGGGGGGGGAAGGGGGCTGAAGCATTATTCCGAGGCGCTACTTCTTCCGCCATGCTCTCCATTTTCTGCTCAACATAACAAAGGGATGCCAGTGGGTGAGGGTAAGGGTGGAGTGACAATGAGGAGGGCATGAACGGAGTTACAGATCAAGTCTATAAAATCCAGCCAATTTCATGTGTATCTAGATGGAATACAATTCTGGCTTCTTTCCTTGAATTCGGATTCCCAGGAATTATGATTATTGTCCACCAAACATCACATGATAAGGATTCCTATTATGATTACATTTCTAACTTCAAAATTCTTTGACACGGAACACGGCCTAAAAGGAATTGCCTGGGAGTCCGGGATGCGACTAACGAGGACTATCAGTGGCGGCAGCTGCTCCACTATTCTTTGGGCTAAGGTTTAAGGTTAGTCATTATGTTTAGTAGCATAGAAAAGTTCTGAAAGAAATAAAATGGGGGAGATGTTTTCACACTAAGGTGGATTTTGGACAAAGTCACATACACACAGATTAATCATGTTCTATTTGAAAACAATATCAGTCATATTTTGAATAGAACATAAAAATACGAGCATAACGAACTGCAAACTAAAATAAAAATACTAAAAACTTCACTATAGTTTTTGCCGACACTACATAATTAAAAGCAGCAACATAAGTCAAAAACCATCAACGTTGGATAACACCAGAAAATCAACAATCCGGTCTTGCGTTCACGTATTATAGTCATGGTTTACTTGATCTTCTTCTTTGGCCTCAACTGCAAGAGGTAAGCAATAATTCAGCAATGAACAGCTTTTAGTCATTATCAAAAGGACGTAAGAATGTGGGATTATATTACAGGTAGATGAAAATCAGAGGCATAAAATTCTAGACCTGATTACTGTGACCACACTTCTTTTTGCGGCAGTTGACAGCCCTTGGATGCAGACGAGCATAGCATCTAATCAGGTAATAACAGGAAACTAGTTACAGAAGAGTGTAACGATGGTGGGAAATTAAAAATTAACTTTATGCCAAATTAATAAATATTGATAGAGTCGTACAATTCAGTAGAGACACTATATAGAGAATCAAACCAAGTAATTCCTTTCCGCAGGAACAAAATACAAATACAATATTTATTCGCTGCAACTATTTTGGTTGTTCATTACAATCATGCATAAGGCTGTGCCCATGACAAGTAAGAACATCAACTGCTAGTATAGGACCATAGTTGATAGAATAAGATCACGGAGATTGACATTGGAACTAGGATGCTCCCTTTTGCACTTTCCGTAGCAAGAGAGGGTTCAACTTGCAGTTCCCTGTTAAATATTTAGAGGAGGAACAGCAAGACAAGTGGACAGCACAATTCTCTCTTTTTTTTTTGGGACTAAAAAGTGGGACAGCACAATTCTCAAACATATCAAGATACCTTGGATACACAGCTATTAAATCCTCAGGCTTCCTTGGAGCGAACAGAGTGTGCTCTGGAGTTTATGCTTGACACTAATAGTTAAAAAATCAATATTACAATGTACCACCCATGAAAATCAACTGCAAGTGAATGAACTCAGTTGACAAAGTTGGAGATGGAATTCAATATATTGGGAGCAACCAATCCCTCTTTTGCACTTCTATACAGCAAAAGATGCTAGGCGATCGTCAAGTAACTCCCATTTGGATGAGAAGTGACAAACTAAACTCATCGTACCTAGCTATAAAACAAATGGATAAATCTCTTCAAAATTATTCCTCCAAACGCGACCAAATGTGATAGACAAACAATACAGGACTAGGCATTCGAGAAACATCGCTCCTTCAGGACAGCAAAAATGTAACGCATGAATTGCACGGACAGAGAAAAATGGGAAGGCAGGCACGTAAGGAACTGTCTTATATGGCATTTTCAATGAAGCAAAATAAACGAATGAATAAACTGACACATACTTGCGGCAGATCATCTTGTCTTGATTGTATTTGCGAGCCAAAGCCATCAAAGAAGGCTCTATGATACCGCCACGAAGCCTCAGTACAAGATGAAGCGTGGATTCTGAAGAAAACATCAATAAATAAACTATTGATTAAAAAAAATATATATATATATATATATATAAAGTGCAAGTTCAGCTACCGACCCTTTTGAATGTTGTAATCAGCTAAAGTTCTGCCATCTTCAAGCTGCTTTCCAGCAAAAATCAAACGCTGCTGGTCCGGTGGAATGCCTGAATAATTCAAATAATATATATTTGCATTGAATAGCTCAGGCAACTTCAAATTTAAACGGATGATGGGTTGAAAACTTAAAAAGAGTACCTTCCTTATCTTGAATCTTGGCTTTGACATTGTCGATAGTGTCGCTGCTCTCGACCTCGAGAGTTATGGTCTTCCCTGTTAGGGTTTTGACAAAGATCTGCATCTTGGCCCTCAGACTCCTCTCTGCTCTAGTTGCCTCCACAGGTGGGATTCGAGGCCCAAGGTTTTATAGTAAGATTTCTAGGGTTTCATGGGTCCTTGGTGGACCACGCCATTTTATTTTATTTTTGATGAAAAAAGAAAATTCAAAAAAGGACAATTTCCTCTAATTAAATAATGATAATTTTAATTTGACCAAGAAATCATTTACTAAGATAAAAATCAGTTTTTTTTTTGTCAAGGGTTATCTTCTAATTAAATAATTATAATTTTTCAATTTAAATTTTTTGTTCGTGTGATTTGATTATGTGCTTTTTGAATTAATCATCTGCTGTTTTTTAAGTTGATTTTTGTTACGATAATTTTTTTAAGTAATAGAATCTAGTTATTATTAGATTGGCTATAGCTAATCATTCTTATAATTATAAAATATAATTATTGTTCATGTTAGACTGATATATATTTCTTGAATTATATAATTTAACTATTTTCTTTTGCAATATTCATATTTCAATTTTATTTGAATTTCGGTATAGTAAAATATAGTTTTAGATCATTATAATTATAAAATATAATTATTTTATATTATATTTAAAATCTATCTATTTTATGATTATGATTATATATTTTAACTATAGTCAGCGCTAATCCTTAATTGTCTGTTATCCAACCCCATTTGAATTGGCATATAATATAATATTTGTCTAAGCCAATATTTTTTAATATGATAAATGTATTTTTGACTGCTTTAATTCTATACATCGTGAAAATGATAAATATCTTAACCTAATTAAAAACATAAATCTATATATATTATATAAATCCAGTTGCTTGGATTTAATAATATTAAGTATGTATTATAAGTACACATTTTTTTATTTTTTTCATTGTCAAACGTACTATTGACATTTTCAAAATTTGGGTGCAACAATTTAATCAAATAAAAATTTTATAATATTAACAAAAAATTTATAAATTCAAAAATAAAATATTTAAAAAATTATACATGGTTAACATTAATATACAAATCAAAAATTAATTACTCTAACAATTTTTAACTCAAGATGAATATGAATACATTTTTCCTGATCATGTTTACAAGTTAATGCCAAAATATTTTATTAGAAGTAGAGATGTCAAAATTCATTAATCCTTTCTAAAAATTCTATGAGCTCCTAGCTTTGTTTATATTAAATATGCATATTTTAATGATATATTTTCTTTCAAAAAAAATTAATAGAGGGTAAAAGTAAAAATTTGTGACAAAAATTCAAAAAAAAAATTCTCTTTTCACCTTATGAATAGTATTGAATATTTGGATTCAGTGAGTGGAATACATCAGTTCAATGAGTATCTCAATCATAATAGTTAGATTTTAAGAATACTTGAAAATTGTCAATATATATTTCCCTAAATAAATTCAAGGAAAAATTAATCTTTTAGTCATTTAACTTTTAACTTTTAACTCATTTGTAATTCAATCCCTCAACTTTTGACTCACTTATAATTTAGTCCTTATTTTTCAAATTTTTTAAAAAATTATCCTTCTCAAATAAAAAAATTAAAAAATAAAGATCAAGTTATAAGTGAATCAAAAGTAAAGAAATTAAATCATAGGCGAGTCATAATTAATTAACTGAATTACAAGTGAATTAAAAGTTGATAAACTAAAAGATTAATTTTTTCGTAATTTAAAATAAAGCCTGAAAGTATGCCTTGGTTCTAATAAGTCTCTAGGATCTAGTTCATCTTAAAATTTTGTCTGTAAAAAAATTAAAACAATCCCCGCTACAAAACATTCATTACTCATGCTGTCCCTTTTAGAATTTTGAGGTTTATTTTTTTTAATATTATATGATAAAATATTTTATTGCTGTTCAATTAAACAGAGTGTTATTATCAAGTTACGTGAGATACTCATTATTTGAATGGGCTAATGGACTTAAAACTTGTTACCTGGTCTAATCCTACTGAACGGCTGGGAATAGTTTTAATAGGGTTTTAGACTTGTCATAAATTTCGAATAACATTGATGAAAAAAAAAATTAATAGATTAAATTTTACTACTAGCAATATACCATCCGTAAGTTTATCAAATTACTTCTTAGATAGGAAATCAAGTTAGCAATGATGTAATGTAAATTGTATCCAAATCGCAGAAATATTAAATCAGTTTAATTAATAATTATATATGAAAAAAAATACATTTTTTAAATTTTTTTATCAAATACATATTTCTAAAAACACTTTATTTTTATGCAAGTTTTTCTACATACATAGAAAACTGTAAAAAGGTAAAAGATTCATTGTTACTCCAAGTGATTTATAAAAATATTATTTTTTAAGAAATAGCTTATATACAAGATTAAAATAAGCATGAAAATAAATTTTATAATTAAAAGTGTGATAAAATGTTCTTTGCCAACAAGAATCAATCAATCTAATACCTTTATTAATTTGGAGTGTCCAGATAAACAGTGAATCACCAAAAATGCCCCCCAGTCTCATCCTTTTATATAACACTAGGCAAAAGTTTGAAATAACAAAATACCAAGATTGCCCTCCCCCATATCGATTTCTTTTCTCTACCCCTACTTCTTTTACGAGCTTGTCCTCCCCTCATTGATTTTTTCTCTCTCCTTGTGCCTTCTACAAGCTCGTCGTATTCCTCCTCACTCATGCCATCGACCATCACCATTAACCCTAGCATTGAGCTCTATGTGGATCGAGCCCAGGCTAACATCAAACTCAATAATTATCCATTACCAAATTTTCTTGAACGACGATGATGGTAGATAAGCATTTGTAGCTACTCACCCATTATTAGGACCTCCACTTCTAAATTTTGGTACCTTCACTCTAGAAGTGGAATTGGTGAAGAAGAGATGCAAGTTTTTGATTAGTACAATCAAGAGTTGGCTGCTACTACCAAGATCACCAACTCTTACCACCACACCCCCCTTAAATCAACTTGCTCCGAGCTCTGATTCCTCTGTTACTTCTCCTTTTCTTCTTTGACTACTACTAGTACTATTGTTTCTACGCCTATCAGGTTTATCTCATTTCCACTTGCCTTTCAAACGTTTCCACCTGTTTGGGGAGGGTGCAGTAAGAGTCAGTTGTGTAACACCCTAAATTTTTTATTTCTACATTAACACTGATTAGGGATTAAATTAGTTATTTAATATGAGATTAGAATTGTGGTTAGTGGAATATTGTATTGACTCATTGGGATGTTATGTGAATAGATTTGAGTGGGAAATGGCATTATAAAGTATAGCGTGTGAGGGCAATAAGAAATTTCTCTCACTATGCTATACACTGTGGCTAAAGCTGGATGTGCCGCGGTGCATGGTGCAGAAACTTGGTAAATAAGGACATGATAGCTCATGAAAAATAAAAAGAGAAGCCAAAGAAAGAGGTTCAGTCATGGAGAAGAAGGAGACCTCTGTTAAGGCAAGCAATCTTTGGAGCAAGAATGACGTTTTTAACTTATTACTTATTGGGTAAGTCTCTAACTACCTTAATATCCAATTCTACCCTATTTTTTCTTAGTTTAAACTATTGAGAAATTGAATTTGAAAGTTATAAGGAATTGATTTCTTACCCTATAATAATAAAAAAGTTTTCTAGGGTTAAACTAAACCTTTGTGACTTGTTTGAGTCAGAACGATAAAGTTTTAAGGCTATAGACCTAAGTTAACCCAATCTAAAGAAAGAGTAATGGAAGAAATATGATGGTAAGTATAATAGTTTTTGTAATGAGTGGTAATTGGTCGTAGTATGCGTGAATGAACATGAATAAGGAAAATGATAGCTATTAGGTGCTTAATTGCTGTAATAGGCACTTTTAGTCAATAAAGCAATTGACTTTAGGTGCCTCAATTGTGTAGACTCTTGTGTGTGATGTGTTGGAGTTGCGAAAAAGAGTTTGAGTGAGGTTTTGGGACACGGGTAACTCTTTCTATCAGACAAAAGGGTTAGTGTAATCACATAGGTTGTCATTTTTATTAGCTATTATAGTTGTGTATAAATAAATGTATAACTATGCATTCGTTGTTTAGTGAGTTTTTATGCATGATTTAACAATGTAAATGGGTTTAGCATGAAACTGATTTGTGAAATGAAAGTTTGATGATTTCAAGCTTTATTTGACATGTTTATATCTATGTTGTGCGTGCGTACGTGTGTATTTTATGTGTGTAAAGTTTGTGAATGAGGAAAAATAGTAGAGTGGGTATGAAAACTATGATTATGGGAGTGGGATTTCACCCAATGTATATGTGTGGATGTGTGTGTGTGGAGATGTGAGAAAACAAATTCATATAGTCAAGATGGCACCATAGGAAATTCGATGCAGCATTTTATAGGCTGGTACCATGAATAATCTAATATAATATTATATTAAGACTGTTACTATAGGACATCCGACAATTTGGCAACTCCCTAGTACTTGTTAGAGTGTAGTTAGAAGTCAACGATACTTCTATCACAAGTGTGTGAAATGAGGAAAACTATAGCCTGTATGTGGGATAGATTATGTTTGGCTCAGTATTTCTACCATCAAAAGTGTACTCGGGTTAATGAGTGATTGATTCAGTAAAGCCTATAATTTTGTCTTGGGAAGCTTTAAAGGATTGGTGGATAGATGATTATGCTAATGTGCAAAAATATGGGAAAAAGGTTTATAAAGAGATAAGAAAAGCTATATATAATATATATATATATATATATTATACTTTGATTTCCTTACTTCGACATGGTTATTTATATTGATGAACATTAAATGAGCTATATTAGTTATTGAGATTTTGAACTTACCCCTGGTTAATTTGGCCATTTATGTGGAATGAAATGAGAAATAGTGCTAATGCCCAAGTTTTTGTAAAAAAGGAACAATTGAATGGCCAATCGTGTGTACATGGGCAATATTGGTTATATAACTACTCAATCAAGTATTATTTATCTATTTAATAATGGCTAATGACATGTGGTTTCATTTAAAAAAACTTAAGTGGTAAATTTTGGCAAAAAACAGTCAAAATACACTTGAGTGTCTAATTTTTGAACAAGATATCGGATTTAAACAAAATGGTGTCATTAGATAGATTATGAAATAAGCTTCACGTAGATACTTGCCTCAATTGAACATTGAATGAAAAAATGGTGCACATCTAAAGTTGGCATCAAATTTTGTAATTTAATAGCAAAATTTGAGGTGTATGCCGCGATGCTTATGTCAACATGGGACAACATGCCACAACGCATGGCACAGAGCATAAGAGCTATGTCTCTATGCCAGGTGTATGTGGCACGAATCGCAGCGTATGACCCATATTTTGGCTTAGTTTGGTTAATTTGATTATGTTTTCATGTTGATTTTGATGTGGTTATGCTTAATGCTTTTGCTGTGTAATGTTTTGCAACTGGAGTATTTCAAGAAATGGTTTTAGAAATGTTTTGTTTTAGGATTCCAAACTCTCAAAGTATTGTAAGTTGAATTAGTGGATTGTGTAGAAGGTTTAATAATAATATCAGTAAAGGCATTACAGGTTGTAAAATTAAATGATAAAATTCAAAATGCTCAATTATAAAAAGTTGAAATAAATTTATAAATTTAAATAAATATGATATATATTTTTTAGCAAATAAAATATTAAACTTATACAATAAAAATAAAACATATTCTGAACATTATAAAATTATAATGTTATATTGCGATATTTTTGTTATGATTTTTATTTATTTGTTCTAAATATTTTAGATTCTTTCTTATCTTCATAAATTTTACATATATTCCAGATATTTTATATTTTAAATTCTAAATTTCTTATCTTATAATATTATAATTTGGAATAGAATATTTAAAAATGGATAAATTATTATAATATTATAATTATAATTATATTCTAATATATTTATAATTATATTTATTCCTCCTTGGTCATCCCTTTCTTCTTCCTCAGAACGCAGAACTGGCAAGACGACGCCAGAAGAAGCAAACGGAGCAGTAAAGCTTAAAACACAACTGAAATAACAGGGCAGTCGGGTGACCACAGCACACAAGCTCCTAAGTGAGGGGGAAGATGAAGAAGAAAAAGAGCTGGAGTTGTGAATAGCATGATTATGAGAAAGACATTTAAGCTTGCCACAGAGAAGCTATCAACTCTTGACAGTGAGCAACACAGACGACAAAAGACCTTCTTGGATGGCAACGATGGTGAGCACAATGGACAATCAGAGTGATAGCGTGGAGAAGGAGGTGAAGAGCTTCAAGCAAAGCAAGGAGATGAGAGGGGATTGGGAGTGTGCGTGCTATGTAGATAGTCTGGAGAGAGAAGATTTTCACCCACCAAATCTCCAACGCACGTTAGGAAGCTCCTTTTTCCAGCTTCAGCAATAACACTCGTTAAGAAGCCATCGCTTGTTCTCTCTCTTTTTTTTTTTTTTCCAAACAAGTTTTTAAGGACGTTGAACATCTCAACCTAGATTTGTGCCATCCCAACTTAAATTGAAAAGTTATCCAAACACACTCAATGTCAAAGAAAGACCACGTTCCGAATCAGAAGGGAAAGCGCCTAATGTGACCACTAGAATCCCACAAGTGGCATATTCTGAGCTTCTTCTTCTTCTTTCTTGTTTTTGTGTTGTCTTTTTTTTTTTTTTCTATTTTACTTTGGTAGCTCTTTGTTCCTTTATCTATAAGCGACACTCCGCCACATCGCTAGTTATTTTATCCTTTTCTTCCCATCTTCTTCGGACACTTCACTCAACCTTGGCATCTTCATACCAAAACTTATCGACAAATTAATGAAATGGACCCCATAAGACAACTTCCCCCCGATCACCTTCCTCGTCTGACCAATTATTTGGAATCTTCACCTTCTCACCGCCGTCTAATGTCAACAGCGGCTATGAGTTAAACGAAGCTGAGCTTTTTTGGTCTGGCAACGTCGCTGAAAGCAAAAATGGGCGCTCCATATCCACGATGGTAGACAGAAAGCGGCGCCTAACTTTCGGTCGCCCAAAAAGCTCGGGCACCGTCGATTTATTAATCGAACGTAGTTACCACGTCGGAGACTACGGGTTTGTACCGAGGCCGCCGGCTCAAAATGCGCATGTCACGGAGTGATTCTCAATGTCCGTGCCAGGTCTGCAATTTCAGTAATCGGCTCCGGTGAAATTCAGTGCTTTCGAACCGGGCCATGTCAAGGCGGCAGAACAATAAGCTGGTTTTCGTGGATAACGACATCGTAGATGACGATGAGATGTTACCGCCGCATAAAATCATCGCTAGGGGATCTGGTGCATCACCGAAGACCACTTTTTCAATGCTGGAGGGGGTCAAGAGAACCCTCAAAGGAGGGATCTTCGCCAGGTTAAGAACGCTAGTTGGCGCAAAACATGATTTCTTTCTTTGTTTTTTTTTTTAAATTAAAAAACGCAAGCAATAATTTGATTACAAAATAAAACTAAACAGTGCGAAAAAATAAATCTCTGTTATGCATAACAACAGACACGCATTCAGGAATTCCTTGACTAATCAGCTGTCTGGAGTTTTGTGATATTTTGTTTTGTTATTCCCCTTTTCGGTTATATCCTCCATGAGTGAAGTTCAATAGTTTCAACGATACGGTAGCTTAGAATTCAGATAAAGATGTTTAGCCTCACTAGTCTCTAGGTGATTTGGATTTAAGAGAATTAGAGAAAATAGGAAGAAGTGGAAAGTTTAGGGTTGTTGGGCCTGAGAATCATCTGCTTTTATATAAAGGATGCACCATTAATGACTGGCATGTCGATTTACTGATTCTGAAACAATTGACACGAGGACATAAACAGTAGGATTTCTATTATTTATTAATTGTTAATTAATCGTGATTTATACTAATATCATCGTTAATAAAATAAACTGATAAGCATATTAATTATGTAATCTATAAAGAGAAAATAACTATTTTCCAGCGGGAGGAAGCTATGTTGCTAACTCTGGTGGAGGGAGCTCGTGGACTTGTTGCCTGCGCTGCTTGACGGATGAAAACAGAAAATTTAAATAGTGTTTGGTTGGAGGGGAGGATCTCTCCTCTTCTTGTTTGGTAAGGCGGAGGGGAAGAGAGATTTTTTAAAATTTTCTCCTCCCTTCCTTCCAAATCTCTCCCTTTAATTTGGGAGATGCCCCCTCTCTCTTTTTTTGTTTCCTCCTCTCCCTTTAAACCAAACAAAGACCTATAATTAGGACTAGAAGCTTGTTTCACGTGGTGGGAAGGTTGATTTGTGTCAGTGCTAGTAGGAGGCTGGCGCCGAACGACAAGAAGCAGGAGACGGATATTCCCGTCGCTGCGTACCTGTTCCTGAAGCTGAAGTGGGGGACATCATAGATCATACACCTGTTTTTGTCATTTTGCAACACCGTCTGTTAATTTGTTAGCGTCAGATGCACAAGGCGCAGATAAATAGAAACAGGAGTCCACGTGAACTAAAGACCCCATTGAAACCTATAGTCAAAGCTTGAACTAACAACTATTATAAGAGTTCTTACGGATGTGCTAATGTTTTTGGATGGCCTACGACAAAGCCGTCATGTTCATTCTCATTTATCAAATTGTTTCATCTCTAACAGGCAGCAGCACGTCCGCTGCGTATCGTCCGTGAGAAGAGGAGCTAGGTCTCTGTGTTAAGATGGATCCTTCAGAGATTTCATGATTTGCGGTTTCTTTCTGTTTTAAATTTTGCCATCTGGACTGTTAATTACTCACTTTCTACCAAATAAAAAGCTAAGGTCTCGACTAACACCTAGAACAAAATTATAAAAAGCAAAAGACGATTTTATGAATGCAAAAGATCTTTTACGCCATTGAATAAGAAATAATTAAAAGAAAATAGTCACTCGAGTGTCTTGTATAATACATTTGAGAGAATGAAAGAAGATAAAATTGATTGTTGAGAAATTTTCGACAATTTAGAGACTCATGCCTGTGTCCCAATATGTGCGGTGAGAATTTGCAACACCCGCACGAAAGAAGTTCCTCAACCAGGCAACACTACAGGCATCTGATAGTTAGAAATAATAATAATAAAGAACGAAACAGAGATACGTGATAAAACATGAAAGAAAGTTATTATATATATAAAAAAGAATCACCGACTGAATCGACGTGCGTCTCAGTCTCAGATATTCGTTAAACAGCTTTACAGATTACATTTTCCCATGTGCTGCTGAATCCCCACGATACAGATTACAGCTTTACAGCTTGTCTTCTCTTTCTTAACACATATAGATAGTTAGCTGGGTGCAACTACGATACTTGATATTTACCAATCATCATCCAGGTTAGCTTGATGGAAACACAGGACGGTACATACGAAGATAAAGAAAGAAACAAGCTCAATGAGCATGGCTCCTGTCTCAATCATTTGGGCATGCTTAAGGATTAAAGGAATAGCTATGCTTCCAACAGCTGATGCTCCTGTCAAAAATTTTGCGGCGTCTATCCAGCTGCAAATGAACATCCACATATCATCAGTAATATATAGTTATATACTTGCTGACCAAAAAAATATAGAGTTTGACCCACGGATAATGAATCGGCTTCATCTTTTCACTGATCAAATAGCTTTTAAAGACATGAGACCGTAGCAGCTAATTAAAAAGGGGATGAACAACAGTTAGAGAGCAGTAGCTAAAAAAGCAGCAGATACAGAAAAATCTTTTAGCTGTTTAGGTCAACAGAAAAACTAACCCCCCACCATCACGGCTCATCAGAAATTGAGTGGACCCGCCTCCAAAAAATAGACAGGGCATGGGTACCAGCACATACATAAGAGCTGCAGAAGCAACACATTAATACCACAACTTTTCTAGCGCCAACAAATCTGAATGGAAAAAAAGAGGGGAGAGGGGGAGAACTTCCAGCTAATACTACCCCAGCTTACCTGACAACATGGGCCACCAATTGCTGTATATTGCACAAGCCTGCCAAAGCAAACAGAATACACTTAATACAAGCAAGATGTTGAGATTTTTTTTTTTTTTGGTGAACTATAGGGAACCACCACAAAATGTCCCTCATCTGCTCTTTTTACAAATCTTTATTTGCACCCAAAGGTTATACTATAGGGTGGTGTTGGCTCCAATGAACCTTTCTAAGACTAGAACGTGGGGATGAGTGATTGCCAGATCAATCCCCCGGGGGGTCAAAAAATGGATTTGATAGATTCCAATAAGGCACTTTGGCGTTCCATATTCAGTCTGATGATCCATTGCTCATTTCGTAATTGAAAATAGCAAAGGACACCAAAAGCTCCATTTAAATACATCTTCTACAGGCTATTGTTGGTCCAAAATGTAGGACGTTTTGTAGTTATATTTCTCCATGTTAATCCATATGTTGATTAATGTGGGTTAAAGTAATTTGCGTGGGAAATTGTGGATGTTGAACAAGGACAAAGCTGAAAAAACAAATAAATATTTCATGAGATTTAGAAACAAAAAATTGGATTTCCTTGATATTAAGTAACTTACATTGTGAACCCATGGAAGTGCTTATCTTGGTAAAGACAACGGATGTAGCCCATTCCCACCCCATATAGAAACGAAGAACACCATGTTGGAGTACCAAGTGTAAAATATTAATTCTCATGTATGGAAGGCCGTAATATCAGACTCTCAATCCTACATGATTACTGGAAGGCGTACTTAGCTTGAGACGTGGAGCTAACATAGGTTCCAAATTGACTTTAGATCATCACTGGAAACGACTTGCGAGTTGGGACAATGAATAGTCAAGTAAGGATTTCTAGGTGTGATTTATTTCATATTTGCTAGCCAATATGAAATCAGCTTTGCATTGATATTCTTTTGGTTAGGTATTCAGAATGAACGCTACTGAATTTCAGATGTCAAGAAGCTGATCAAATTTTTATTATTGGATTTTGTTATAAATTATCATACAGTCTCCCTTGGAGTTTTCAAGCTTTTCTCAGAGTGACTAAGAGTTATTCATGACAAAGATATTATTGTAAGGATTTTGTATCAATCGAAAATTCATTTTGTGCAGACCCTTGTTCAAAACTCCAGCTTAAAGTCAAGTGATTCTTTGATGTCATCATTAAGTACATTACAAAACTTGAATCAAAATGAAACCATGAATTATTTATGACACTTAAAACAGAGTACAAATGAGTTTCTGCAGATTTGAAAGATAACCAAATTTCAGCATTTATGGCTAATCTGACGCATCTGTTAGGACAACAATCTGTTCATATTATCTACCTTACGACTTCATTATGTAAATTCTTCAATTCTTCAACTGCACAGTTTAGGCAGTCACGTGATGTATACCTGGCAAATCCTTTTCTTATAGTAAATTATCATAATTCATCTCCAATTCATCCAGTAAACCATCAGTGTTGAATTTAAAATTTTACTGGAAAGTGGAAACAAGTAGAATGAAGTTGAAGTGCTTGTAAGCTGTTCAAACCTAACTCGAAAGTGGCATTTTCAGCAAAACAAAAGGCAGGCATTGCTTAAGAAATTTGAAGCATTTAACACTAGCACATGTTCAACGAGTATATCATTATGCAAAACGGACAACGTACCAGAATCTGTAGCAAAATGCTAGCTGAAAACATGAATGCCAGGCCAGCAAGGCTGCATGTTAAAAAAACATATAGTTAGAAATTTTCCTTGTATGCAAATTAATGCAAAGTTCATAGAACTCAGTTCAAACTTACACTGTAAAAAGGAGCACCATTTGCGCATCGCAGAACACAAATTTGTAACACCAGATTTCAGGACATAACCAGTATCAGAAAAGATCATCAGTAGATTGAAAAAGGATTCTTGCTAAGTATAAGCGTTTAACATGAAACACAGCATACTGCATATATTTCATCAAAGTAATATAATTTAAAGGTACATATGCCATGATATTATATGTGATAGAGTGGCCTGCCATAACAGCCAAAACATATATACTGTATTTGAAAGAAATTATTATCTGTACTTATATTATATAAAAAATTGATTCTGCCTACTCCTTCTCTCTGTCATTCTCGGTTACACAGCCATGTAATGTGTGACAGTCCCTTTTCTTACAAATTAACACAATAATATGCTCACAGCCGTGTCTTTTTATTGGATGGTGGTAAACACATGCAAGGGCAGATCCACAACCTCTGATCTTAACATCCAAGTTTACATGAATTACACCGTTTTCTGTTCTTCATTTTTTACTTTTCTTGAATTTAGTGAAGGATGTATGATTTACACTTTACATGCATTCCTCAGGTTTCTAGGCACAACTTAATTGTATTTGAAATAAGTTAAGATATATGCTTATGGATATAAAGTGGTTCGGTTGTATCAGAATAAGATTTAAATTCATCCCTTACTTTTATTCTCCCATTTTCTACCCTCCCTTTTAATCCTATTAAGAAAACCCTAAAATAAATTCGTGAAAACCTCGTGGGATTCTCCCTCGTTGGAGTAAGTTCCCTTTCAAACAAGACGAACAGAACGGACAGGTTAGTCTCTCATACCCGAAATAATCCCCGTCAGAATTTTGATAGAAAGGACAAGGTTCTTTCCACTTGAATTCTACCAATTAAAACTCTAATCCAATTACCAACTATCATCGATATTCAGCTCGATCCTTTCTGTTCAATGATTTCAGCCCAAGTCGGCGCAACAATTAAAGTTAACTAACCAAACATTGAAAGTAATTGGGACATGATTCGGGTTATAAAAGGATCGTGGCAAGAGATCAATAATAAATACGTAATAGATACTTTGAGTAGAAGTAAAAATTCAGAGCGAGTACCGTGAATTGTCATCGCCATGCTTGAGATGGGGACTGTCTCTCTTGCAAGCAACGGAAGAAAATTTTTGGGTTAAGCAATCAAACGGAACAAAGAGCAGAACTGGGAGTTCCTCGCGCGTTGGTCACCCCGGCTTTGTTTTCTCGACTTATTGCCTGCGTCGATATCCATCGATAATTTTTCTAGAGGCCTATTATTATTATAATTCTCTCATAATGTCCCTCGACTCTGTTGGCAAAACACGAAAAAAAAAAAAAAACAAAACAAAACAAAACCCCTTTCCCTTGACCTAATTGTCCCACTAGTTGCATCTTTAATTCTTATTTTCATTAAATGTATACAAACATATTATATATGTGTGTGTATTATTATTATTATATTTGCAATCATGAAATATCCATATCTTTTTTCTTTTTGTCAACAGTCAATCAAATTTCTATACCAATGTGTCTGTATCTGTACCAACATTATAAAATCTGGAAAAATTGCACCATTCATGTAATCATAATAATAATTTATGCAGCTCATCAGCCGGTCAAAAGAAAACTTTATGCTGTTCATCTGAAAAAAGAAGGTGCAGGCCATGCTCCAATCAGGCCTGAAAAGGTCCATATGGTTTTGTTTCTGTCTTAAGGCCCATCTAAGCGTCGACGCTTTGTAAATGGCCTAGTGGACAACGAAGAATTAATTTTCTGATGTTCTTCTGCTTTGAATTAAGCATCTGCAACTGAATGGCCAAGGCCAAAAAGCGATGAGACCTGTCAGGTTTCCCGAACCATCCAGCGGGTTCCCGGGCATGGCCGAGACCTTCGACGGTGGGGTCTATGGTGCTATCAGACAAGCCGTTGTCATTGGCAATGGTTTCGCCGGCGCCGAGAATCAGAGCATTGGTTTGATTCGTGCTCTCGGTCTCTCCAATCGCCACTCCTTATATGTAAGCTTTTAATTCAATACAAGTGGATTTCATGCCTCCCGTAGGAATTATTGAATCTCAGGTTATGTTTGATTGAAAAGAAAATTCCGGCGGGTGTTGTTTATGCAGCGTGTTACGAGGCCCAGGGGAGGAATTAACAAGTGGCTCCATTGGCTTCCAGTTTCCATCCATAAAAAGTTAGACAACTTCATGAGGCAATTATATGGCAATTCACGGTTTCAAATATCAAATAAACCGTCTGTCTTTCCTGCTGAGAAGATTGGTAATGCTTGCTGATCACTTCAAAAAAATTTATTCTTTATGCTGCAAGTTGAACTAATGTGATTTCTCCTTTAAATGATGGCTATTTCAGGCTTATCTAGCATTTTAGAAGCTGACGCTCCGCAAATTGCAAGGATGGCCCGCGAAACGTTTGAAAAGTATGTCGTCATCTTTTTCTGGATATGCTTGTCTTTTAAACTTCTCTAGATTGCATTTAAATTTCATCTGCATAGGATACGGGTAAGCTCTGTAAGAAACAAAAACGGCTAATAGACACCTATGAAGGGAAGCCATCAGTGCCTACATTAATTTCTTTAGCGTTACTGAATTCCTCAAAGAAATGCCATTGTTTCAATTATCCCTTTTTATCATTCTCTCCCTAGGGATGGCCCTTTGCTAGTGGTTGCATCTGGACGAGATACTATCTCTGTTGCTGGCTCCATTAAACGTTTAGCTCCAGAAAATGTGTTTGTTGTTCAGGTCAAACCTTTCACTTATTCTTTTTGGTTCTTTATCATATAATTTTTAAGTGCTCCAATCAATTTCCGTGACCGTTTTCTCTGCATTTGATGCTCTTTGTGATAAGATTTAGAGGTCTCAGTCCTAGAATGCTAAAGATTAACTGGAAATTTATTACCTTCTTGTTTATTAATAAATACCTGTTGTCTCCCACCCCTTAATAAACACAACGATCCACCTCTAGGCTATTTTGCAGCTTTTGAGGTGTAACATGAATTTCTTGTTCTGATTTTGCATTATTAATTATTTGCCTCCTTTTGGCTTTTTACCAGCAGTCACCATGGTTATTGAAAGGCATGTGTTTTGTTGCTTTTCTAACACTCAGATAACTATTTCAGATACAACATCCTAGATGCGACTTGAATAGGTTTGATCTTGTGATCACTCCTCACCATGATTACTATCCCCTGACTCCTCATGCCCAACAGCAAATTCCTTGGTTTCTGCGGAGGTGGGTTACTCCACAAGAACCACCTGGAAGCAATGTGGTAGGTTCTATGGTTGCACAATCGTTATGATGTGGGCTCTTGCCTGAGATAGCATTTTATGGTTTCCGTCTCTACAGAATATTTTACTTTTTGGCTTATTGAGAAGCTTACCTCCACCCCCCCCCCCTCAAGGTTCTTACTGTGGGAGCTCTTCATCAAGCGGATTCGGCTACCCTTAGGATTGCTGCTTCTGCCTGGCATGATGAGTTAGGAACTTTGCCGAAGCCTTTGCTTGTGGTTAATGTTGGTGGACCTACAAGTAATTTGTATTGCATTAAGGAACTTTTAGTGCAATTCCTATAGTATTTGTTCAAATTGTTGAAAATTGATATTAACATGTTTGAATGCACCTGATGCTATAGTACTAGTAATATGTTTTGATCTTAGAGGTTGAGATGTGTTAGGCGTAGAAGATATCATTCTGATGGATTTTTGGGGTTTAGTTAGAGTGTTGCAAAAATCTGTTGGAAAAATGTCATGTCAAATAAATTCTTCCCCTGTTTTCTTCCCTCTAGCTTGATCCCTTACATAATGAAGGCTCAAAAATGATACAAGAACATAATTTGTAACGGCAGCAATTGCGTACCCTAACCCTATATGTTTAAGCCTCAAGGCATAGCTGAAAGGTCAGAGGTTGAGTTGATTAATTTTGCTCTGATCGGTGTTTTTTTTTTTTAATGTTAGAATCTTACTTTTGTTTGATATTTAATTATTCATTCTTTGATTCTTAAAGCTGATTTTGTTACATTAGTCTGGTTATATACGAATCCCCTGTTTCAAGTTTTCATGTTTCTGTACATCCCTGATTATACCTTATCACTTGATCTTACACGACTATCTCTCTCACAGGAAACTGTCCCTATGATGAGAATCTTGCAAAACAGTTAACAATAATGCTTCAGAATGTTCTTTGGAGCTGTGGGACTGTCAGAATATCTTTCTCTAGAAGAACTCCTGAGAAGGTATT